ATGACAGAGCCAGGTGTCTGCTGTTGTTGCTCAAGTGTAAGGGGAGGTCACAATACATACTTGCCACTTTAGTCTTTTTTTCTGCCTTTTTCCTGTTTTTGAAAACTGCATACAAATTTCCTATATTTTCTGATTGTATTGTAAAGGAGACTGAGACATAATTATATATGTTCATTATACCATTGCTACAACAACAAATCTAATGGTGGCATGAGACTTTTGCACAGTACTCTTTGTGTGTGTATTTGTGTGTGTGTAATAGAAAAAAATACCAATAAATACCAATAAGCAATATATACACATGCACGTTTTGTGTTGTTACCTTTTATATAGATATAAGACAACTGCCAGCGTAACAGCATTCCTATTCATCAGGGAGAAAAAGGGGCTTAAACTAAAAGGTGCAATACAAACATATATGAGCATCAAGAAAAATGTCAGAATATTTAAATAAGTGTTTTTCTAGACATTTTTTCAGTCTTAAAAGTTAAGCAAAATGAAAATTGTGATGGGGACTAAGACAAAGAAACTATAAAAGAGAAAAAAGAAAAAAGGCTCCATAGGTTAGCAGTTGGTAACATTATTAAGATGGAATGTAAGACAGAGATCTAAATAGACTACACTAGTTGAAAACACTTATCAGGCTGCACACTAAGATATACAAGGGGAAATTTTAAAATAGCCATTCCCTCATTACTTATTTTTATTAAATAAACCTTCCCACACTCCAACAAGACTATACTAGTAAATGCTGAAACTATGCTTAGATTTAATCAACTTTTGTTCACAAACACTGATATTAAATAAAGCTATGTTTAATATTGTATATTAATATTGTTTAATATTGTAGGTTTCCATATGCTAAATAAATAAACAAAAGTATACAATATCCCTTAACCTGTTCTATCCCCAAGTTGTACAGTTTTTCTGATCAAACTATTGTAGCTTTTTCAAATGTAACTAGAAACAAATTGGGGCCAAAAAAAAAAATCTTCATCAACATTTGTTCTAGTCTTCTAAAGTGCGAGATCTATATGTTTTTTTCAAAGGAGAGTAAAAACTCCCTGATGATAAACTCTGGAGACATTATTGGGAGTACTTCAGTGGTTCCTAACATTCTAAATTAATTTTGTCAACAGTTTATCAAAGCAGGGATGAGTAACTTTAATATTTGGAGTTGTAACTGCAAAGAGATGAGACACATTGCCCATATGGCTAGATGAAAATATTTTAAATTTATGCTTTAAATGGATGTTTTGGGGGATTTAAAAATTTTTATATTTACTTTAAAAAATTTGATATGCACTTACATGTAAGTGTCGTATAAGACCTATTTTATTCTACAACAATAGTCTTGTGAGGTACACTGGGCTAAAACAGAAGTATTGACCCAGAGTCACCCAATGGCCTTGCAGTGTTGCTACCCACATTCTATAATTGCATAAACCTCTTAATTGTGCAACTGCTTTCATTTGAACTATGTAATCTAGAACTTAGTAGACAATGCTCCTCTTAAGATGCTGACAAAATTCAAGAGAGGAAAAAACCTTTATTTTCAGATACTAGTTATTTACTAGAATAGAAAAATGATGTGAGCTAAATTTCAGCCTTGGAACTCATGGAAAACAAGTTCTACCTGTATTATTAGAACATTTTATTTTGGGCAATTGACAGGACAAATATTTCCAATCTTACTCAAAACTATATTTTTATATCTGCATCTCCTGCATTTAAGATGGATTACATTTTAAATAGGAATCTCAATTTCACACTAATCTCCATACTTTGTTTGCATGTTATCATGTACAAGATGAGACATTCATCTTTGCAAACCTACCGTATGTTTATTCCTGTTGGTCATTACCTGAATACATAAACAAAATGAAGCATAGGGTTTTAGTCAGAGGAGAGTTCCTGAAATTATCTTTTGCAACTATTACTGGGAAAGAAAATAGAATCCTTAGCTCTTTCTTTCATTTAGCTTGTTTTTTTCCCCAATCTCGTTTACAGCCCTGATATTCCTTGGTAATCTTTCATCCACTTACTAAACAGCTCAACTCTGTTTAGTTTTGAGTCCAGATGCCTACTAAGACCATGCTCCCTCTCTGCACTATATTAGACCTCCATTATTCTTTAGGTTGGCACTTGACTTTTTTGTTATCTCTCTTTTCCTTACTACAACAAAAGATTTCCTTAAACCAAGAAGAAAAAATAGGAAATACTACAATATCTAGCTAAATATTTGCTTAACATATTCCTTCCTGTGCAAATTTTACTCCAGTACCAGTTTTCTTCAATGTAACGCCCTCCAGATGTCCTGATGTAAATATTAAGATTTAAAGTTTCAGTAAACCAGGAATCATATTTGGAATCTCTGTGTTTCCAGCCCCACCCATGTATATCTTTTCCATAGGTACCTCATTATTCTTATGTTAGCAATTTTTATGGAGGGGAAACTATTTGAAATATTTGAAATGATTATTATAACTTTCAATTATTTCATTCCTTAAGTCATTATTGCAATGCTATGCAACAGTGCATCTGGAAACATGCCTGAGATAATGCCTTCATCATCATCATCATCATCATCATCATCATCATCATTATTATTATTATTATTATTATTATTATTAAAACTTCTATACCGCCCTTCTCCTTTCGGACTCAGGGCGGTGAACAGCCAAAATAAAAACATTTATACATAACATTGCAATTAAAAATAGATTTAAAATAATTAATAAATTTGGCCCATAATTTAAAACTTGTCAATTTAAAATCAGTATCAAAATTTTAAAACCAACCCTAAAATCAAGACAGACCGGCTAACTGAAAAAAGTAAGTTTTTAGGGCCCGATGAAAAGTCCGGAGGTCAGAGATCACTCGTATCTCTGGGGGTAGATTGTTCCAAAGGGTAGGTGCCACCACAGAGAAGGCTCTCCTCCTGGGGGTCGCCAGCCGGCATTGTCTGGCCGACGGCACCCTGAGGAGGCCCTCTCTGTGGGAGCGAACCGGCCGGTGGGAGGCTATTGGTGGCAGAAGGCAGTCCCGTAAGTACCCCGGCCCTAAGCCATGGAGCGCTTTAAAGGTGATCACCAACACCTTGAATCGCACCTGGAAGTCCACTGGAAGCCAATGCAGCTCGCACAGGAGAGGAGTCACATGGGAGTGCCCCGTCGCTCCCATAATCCCCCGCGCGGCCGCATTCTGCACCAGTTGGAGCCTCCGGGTGTACCCCAAGGGAAGCCCCATGTAGAGAGCGTTACAATAGTCCAGACGAGAGGTGATGAGTGCTTGAGTGACCGTGCATAGGGAGTCCCGGTCCAGAAAGGGGCGCAACTGGCGTATCAGGCGAACCTGATAAAAAGCCCCCCTGTGCCTATCTTCACAGAGGTTAGCCTGCTCTATTCATTGGGACTTGCTCTCATATATATGCATTTCATGTCCATCACTAGAGCTGATGTATTGATTACCTCCATCCATACTCAGATAATTCATACATTCCTAAACGTTCATCAACATTTAGATGTACCTGATGTCAAGGCATGACCAACTGATCTACTTGCACAACCAAAGAATTTCACAAAAACTATTATTAACAAGCTTAATCATTTTTTAAATATAATTGTATGCTCTTGACATAAAAAAATTCATTGAGATAAGTTTATCATAATTCTCAACTTAAGAACTGCAAAGCATAATAACATTGGTTTAAAATATATTTTCAATAAAATTAAAAATAATTCTTTAAAACTAATATGAACAATCAGAGATGTACAGTATTTATTAGATTTTACTGTACACTGTGTATTCATCTTCAAAACTTGTGCAAGGGGAAGAAATAACGAAGATCCTTCAGAGTTCAATTCTGTATCACTGAGATATCTGGCATTATTTAAACAAAAAAATACTGTATCAGGTTTAAAACAAAATAATTTTAGTTATCTTCAACTGTGTACTTTCATATTGTGAAAGCTGCTTGCTTTGGGTGTATACCTGCTATTTGAATATCAGCAAAAAGTTTCTTACAATTTGATGTAGGACAACTTTTTTTAAAAAAATAAATAGTGTTCACTTTAGTTATGATTATATATACGATTATACATATGAAGGTTAAGGCATCAATTTTTTAAACTGTTCTCTCTTATGGGGTCAGGGGGAAGAGCAGAAAGGAAAAACCTTTTCTGGCAGTGGTTTGCTCTCCAAGCTTGTTTCAATTTAGTTTCCTTACCAGACAAGGTAATATCAGCAGGAGGATTTTGTGGGAAAATGCTTTACCTATGTTTTACCATTTCATTTCCTACTCTTCCTCCAGTCCCAATCATTTCAAAATTTGAAAGTGGACTGTCAAAAACATGCCCATTCTCACTGAAGTATAAAACCATATGGGCAGGTTTGCTCTGGACAACATAATGAGGAAAGACTGAGCTCAGTACCGCTGGAGAAGAGTGAGGCTTATTTCTGCTTGCTTGGCCTCTTCTCTGGGAATTTCTGTAGGGAGGGCTGGGATCATCAGCTGCCTCAGAAAGCCAATAATGGTTGCTTTGAAAAGATACCAACCTGTTATTTATTCATTATGAGCGCTGCGCTTTGTATTATCAATGGGAGAGAATATATTTATGGTTGTTTCTGCCTCCAGTGCCTAAATATAACTGCCTGACCTTGCGGACCATCTACCTTTCTACCTAAGGCAGCGAAACACCTTGCTCTTGTCTTCCCCTGAGGAGCATGCAGAGAACCTAGAGGACTCAGGTGGTTGCTTACATCTCCGCCCTTATTCCTGCCATGCCTAGATGGCAGAACCCTCTAAAAGAGCAGCCCGGCTGGGTCGGTCACCCGGTGCTCTCTTTAGGCAACACTGCAGGCCCGAGTCCCGCCCGCTTTACCACCAAGCCAAGAGGCGGCGAAAGTCAGCAAAGCGAAGGAAACTCTATTCCCCTTCCCGTCCCTTCCCTTCTCCGGCCCAAACGCTCAGGGGCATCCTTGCCGGCTCTTCTATTTACCGCGTCGCTCTGAGGAAGCAGAAAGCGGCTCTGCCTCCGCTCGATCCCCTTCAGCGCTCGTCCCGGATCCTCCGCTTCCCGGAGCCAGAAGGCGGGCGGCTGGAAACTGGGGCTGCTCAGGTACCCGATTTCACCGGCCAGCGAGCATCAGGCCAGCGACCTCTCAAGGCTGGAGCGAAAGGGGTGAAGGGGTGGGGGGAGGCGACGCCACAGCGCGGACGCAAAGCCAAGCGACCGGACCGAAACTTGAGACCGTTCGGCTCAGCAGGGGCTGGACGCGGCCGGCGCCCACAGTCTCGTACGAGGTTCTGGGGCCTTCTAAGCGCCCTGAAACGCCGCTCGGCGGTACCTCGGCCGCCCACCACGCCGAATCCGAGGGGGAAAAAAAAAAACCCGAGCGCGTCGCCTTCTTTGCGGGTTCTCTTCACGCGGAGTTTGCCCGGGTAAACCCACAGCTCACCTGCCGGCGGCGAGGCGCCCACGCTCTCGGGTCACACGCTCCGCAGAACTTTTTTGGTCATTCACGCCCTCCCCCGTCCCGCGGGGCCCACAACAGCAGCAGCGACTCACTCCTCCCTACGTCACGCAGGCTGAGCCTGACGCTAGCCGCGCACTTGGGGCCCATTGGCTCGCCTAGCGGGCTGGAGGGCGGTATTAGCATATCGCCACGACGACAGCCCAAGCCTGTTCCCGCCCTCTACGAGGAAGGTTTGTTTCTCGCAATCGAGTCGGCTCTGCTGGCCGCCCACGGCTGGTGTTCCTCCGGGACTGGGGGCGGTGGGGGGGGGGTGTTTCTCCTTTCCCCACAGAGCCGCGTTCTTGAGTCTGTGCGTGCGTGACACAGGACTGCCTGAGGGCGGAGAAAATTGCTCAACCGGGGTTAAGAGACTCTCGGCTCTTCCCTGAAGGATAATCGGTTCCGCACAATGACGAATCAAGCAGGCTGTACCCAACGAGAAAAGCTCTTTTAAAAGTAGTGCCAAAAAGGAAGCCTGGGAATTTAAGTCGGCGTTAATTTTCAAACCGGTGTTTTCGTTTTTATTGCGGTCATTTATAACGAGCAGCCTGAAACTAGAGTTCCCTTAGATATAATTCATCTACAACTCCCGTCGCCAGAAATTTGGGAAGATAAATCCGAACGGAGATTTAGAATTTCGGAGAGGGGAAAAAAAAAACACATACACCCCACTTGTTAGATGTAAGAGACAACTAATAGCAGTTTGTTCTAGTGACAGTCAACTATTTCCAATTTTTTCCCCCTTGTGCAGTGGAAATGTGTGTTTTTAGTTATTTTGAAACCATGATTATTATTTTTTTAGTGTAGTCTCCCCACCCTGGTCCTCTGTAGATGTTTTACTTGACAGTTCCCAGGCATTAGCTGCAAGTCCTCTTGCAGTTTTCTTGACAAGATTGTCAGAAGTGAGTTGTCTCCTTCCTATGGCTGAGAGAGTGAGTGATTGGGCCAAGGTCACCCAGCTTAATAAAAGGTCTGGATGTTCTTAAATTATTCTAGAGTCTAGACTCCAGAACAGGAATCCCCAAACTTGGCAGCTTTAAGACTTGTGGACTTCAACTCCTGGGAGTAACTGGGATAGAAGTTGACAACAGTTTACAGTTTCCTGGATGGAGAAAGAGTCTGTAGCCCAGGTTGGCTTTAATAAAAAAAAGCTTCCTTGGGATGCAGTTCTATTGTACTTCAATTATGTGAAATAGGATTAACAATTGTGCTCAACTGCAAAACCAGTTTATGTCTTATGTCTCATATTCTGCCCAGTCAAATAGAAAATAAATTCTGAATTATTTCTTGGAAGACCTTGGAAATAAAATGACTTAAACCAATTTAACCACATACGTTAGCAACTAAAATCCTGTAATTAGGCTTCATAAGTTGTCATCATATTTTTCACATACCCATCTGCTGAAATTCTGAAGTAGCAGTACCTAGTGAGAATGATTATTTCTGGAGCTTTAGGGTTTTTTGGGGGGAAATTCACCTGGTTCTCAGGGTTTTTTTTTTTTTCTTCTTGCTACAGGCAGAAAAGTTTCTAAACAATTAGCTGAAGTTTAATTTACTATATGAGAATATTTTGCTCTTTGTTCTGTGTTGTTTTAACCACCATACTGGCCACTTTGAAAAGTATACTACTGTAATATGCAAGGATGCAACATTTTCATTATTAAGTAGCTAACCATAAACTGAGATTTGAAAGAAAATTCTGCATAGGTGTGGGAGGTACATTGGCTACTACTCAGGTTATATTGACCATAGCAGGTATGAGTGCCTGCAGTAATGTGACAGCAAATCACTTCAAACTCTTTTGTGGATCCCAGACTCTTTCACAGCATGCTGTAGTAGTTGCTACGTGCCTAAACCAAAATTATTCAGACAATAACAAACGTTATACAATTTCCTGTTTTTAAATATAAAACATATATTTGTGTTTTCTAACTCCTGAAGTAGATTACATATGAAAATAAACTCTCCAAATACTCACCTTCCCAAACCGAAAAAAAAATCTGTCGAATGAAGCACTATCTCCCACTTTGCATCACCATCTCTCCCATTGTACATCACTGTTCTGTACACTACAGCCCTGTACACAAGGACTGTTGTGTACAGAAACACATAAAACACATGCCTCATCAAAAAGTTAATCACTCCTGGTTTATAGAATTTATAGAATGGTAATCTCTAATTAGGCTTCTATTCCAATAATTTTTTTCTCTCCCACTTTTGACTTAATTTACCTATTGAAATTTGAATAACATTAACTACATTCACGTAACATACTAACTGAAAACATGATTTACTGAATTAACCCGACTGTTTAGGTAACTATTCTCTGGATTCACACAACACATTAAGCATGAATTAGCCAATAACATTTTAGCCTAGCCACTGAGAAGCTAACAGGCAAGCCAAACTTCAGGCACCAAAATAAGATCAGAAACTTTGCAAATTGAAAGATGCTATAGGAAAGAGTACAGGCTTCTGTCATATTCCATATATTTGTAACATGGAGATGATGTACAGAAAGGAAAATCAAGCAGAAAAGACTAAACAGCAAATACTGTACAGTTTGAATTATTTGAGAGGGACAAACACAAAAAGAAAGACCTACAATGCTGCAAAATGTTGTGTGATATACTAGCAGCTATTTCATCATCATCATCATCATCACCATAATCACAACAATTATCTGTAATGAGCAGACTGATTTCTCAATCTATTTTATGCCAAGCTAAAGTGCCAGACTGTCCTTGCACTTACAAAGTTAATATGCTCAGGTGAACATTAGATTAGAAATAATCTTTCCTATAATTTATCATGTGAAAGATTTTCTCCCTAAAAATTGAAAATATTCAATTACCTTTGTACAATTTAGAAAGTATTTACCATCTCACCTGTCGTAGACACTAAGTCTACATTTATGAGGTACAATACTTCCCTTTTCTTCTTATATGGATGTTTTTTTTCAACTGCCCAGTCTCATCTACAATTCTTGAATTTCTTGATGAACTATCAAAATCCTAACTAGATCAGACTCTCTCACCTTTGTAAAATCAGCCAAAAAACAGCTAGCTGCTGCCACCTAATGTGACAATTTCAGAATACAATTATTTCTGCAGGAATTGGAAATTGTTTTTTAGAGTTGATAGATATGTATCAAGTCATTATTACTCATAGGATATACATAATATCTGTTCTGATTCAAAACATTTTATAATATTTTCATCATGCTTCAAAACCTTGCTTGATAAGAGCAATAAGGGAACAATATAAAGGAGGATAATTTGCTATGCTATAAGCAACAGTAGCCTCGCCACTTTTTTAAAGCTACTCTCTGAATCTTTCTCCATCATATAACAATGGAATAAGATTGTGTTTATTTTGTATTTTACTTTCCAGATTGTTGTGATTTAGTTAAATATGAAGCATCTGAAATTTTAAAAACATGCCAGGGATTAGAATTTTATCTTTACACATAGTAGCAATGTTTGCAGACCTTTATGTAATAAGATCTGCTTTGCATTGCCTCCTGTCTTTCAAAATAATTCTTAGCTGGCTCTTAAGATTCATTTTTCTCAATATTAGCTATGGAAACTTAAACAAGGTGGAGCCACTTATCAAGGAAAACAATGGCCTCTCCTCTCCAGGCTGGATAGTCATTTGTTAGGATGTTTTAATTTGGAACTTCAACTGAAATGTTCAGCTAAAAAGTTTGTATTGTATACTGGAATACATCAGCAGAGTAATGAAACCAAACATCAAATTTCTATCTTTGTAACCTTTTCTATTAAATGCTGATTTGTCTCATTAACATTAGGGACATAACATTTTCAAAAATTACATAAACTGATTGTTTCCTTTCAACTTACTAATAATACAAGGTTAGTTGAATGACACAAATAGTTAACTAATGACACTGCCAAAAAGAATAAGACTCCATTTTTATAACACATTTCAATTGTTCAGACAATATATTTTACAATTATTATTTTTTTTTAGAGAGAATGACAGAATTCTTGTCATATTACAGCAGTGGTTACTTTTAATACCATAGTAGGATACAGCATTACCAGAACTCTTCTTCATCTGCTGAAACCAAATAGAACATGTTTTGGGGCAACCATAATTGCATATTTAAATCATACTTCTGAAGTTTCAATCAGGAAGCAATATTTATATGTGTATGTGTAGACCTTCAGGGTTAACTCTAGCACACAAATCGAACTGCCAGGATACTGTGTGGCTTAACTGCAGAGATCATCACAATTCTTCCCTGTACAATCTTTACATATGTTCACTATTTATAAACTATAATAATCATTAAGATGCCATGGCACTTATATTCTGGTCCCTAGATTTCAATTAAGTGGATTTATTTTTCTTCCGAAGCTAAACAAGGGTTTTCTGAGCCAGAATCGTCTTTTTCTGGCATCGGCATCTGCTTCTCTGTCTCTCCATTTACGTTTTCTTTGCTTTCATTCATCTGAAGATCAGATTTCTTTTTTTCCATATTTTGTTTCAATTTGACAGATGACTCTCTTTTGGACAGGATTGCAGGATTAAAGCCAGGGAATCCTCCGCTTGTCATGGTACGCTTTTCTATAAACCGGAAAAGAAAAGCACATGGCAAATTTATTTTTATTTTAAAAAGTTAAGGGACAAATTACTAGGCATATGCCCATCACTGTTACCCCAAGTACACAGAATTTCTAAATGTGTTTTAGAAAACACATGTGTTTTAGAAATTATAAACTGCCTCTCTTGAAGCAGAATTTAGCAATGGTAGGAAATAATAGCAAAGCACATACAAACAAATGGAATATTCCAGATTGCTGGACCTCAACCTGGATATCTGTTCTCTTGTAGAAGAGAACAAATAATCTTTAAAACAATTGTGGTCATAAATTCTGGAAGAAGATCAAATACAAACACAATGTCTATTCAAAAAACACAAGATTATTCCTTGGCAGCCAGATAATTATTTGTGTGTGCTTAACTTGCAAGCCTGAAACAAGGCATCTGGCTACAATTGCATAATTTGCTTCATAGCTGAATACTTCTACAGTCATACCTCCTGGAGCAATGGGGTGCATCAGTCGGTTCATCTGAATATTCCAGTGCTTTACATTGGTGCTGGCTTGCTGGAGCTTCTGCTGGGCTATCTGCAATGGAAGAAGGGAAAAAAGAAATTTGGGTGCTATAAAATATGTGTAATTTCTAGGTAATCAAAGTGGTAAACACTTAGTGAATTATAAATCGTGAACCAACTGAATGCAGTCATCACACCTACTGAAAAAAAAGTTGATATTATATTGAGCAACAAAAATACAATTAAGCAGAAAACAATACTCTTATCAAGGAACTTACCAAGGAGAAAACTAAACTAAAGCCCACACTCATTCACACTGATGTTACCTAGTTGGGTAATGAAATGTCTGCAAGTAAACAAGAGCATCAGGGATTCCACAGTACAACCCTGAACTATATACCATATTTTTTACACTATAAGATGCTCCGGACCATAAGGCGCAGCTAGCTTTTGGGGAGGAAAACAAGAAAAAAAAATCTGCCTCTGCTTCCCAGCAATTTGCTTCCTTGCAGCAAACAGCAAACAGCCTGGTCAGCTTCAGCACGAGTAGCTGATTGGTGGTTGGATCGGCCTCCCAGAATACCGCCGATCAGCTGTTCCAGGTTACGGAGATCACTGCCGCCCATCGCTGCCTTTGCTGCCTCCGCGCGCTCCGTTTTTGGCTTCCGCGCATGCCGTTCAGCGGTGATAGGCAGTGGCGGCGATCCCCGCCGCCTGGAACGGGCTGAAAACCGGACGTGCGGAGGCTGAAAATGGAGCATCCGAGGCCAAAAATGGGCTGAGCGGAGGTGGTGGTAGGCGGTGGCAGCAATGGGTGGTGATGGTGGCAATGGGTTGCAGCAATCCCCGCAGCCTGGAACAGTTGATCGGTGGTTTTCCGGGAGGCCGTTCCAACTGCCAATCAGCTGCTTGTACTAAATCAGGCTGTGCTGAAGCTGACCAGGCTATTTGCTGTTTGCTGCAAGGAGGCAAACTGCTGGAAGGCAGAGGCCAAAGGGTGGGGGCCGGTGGATGGGCAGGGCTTCAGCAGCATTCGCTTCAGCAGCATTCGCTCTATAAGACGCACAGACATTTCCACCCAGTTTTTTGGTGGGGGAGTACATCTTATAGACCGAAAAATACGGTATACCCTCTTCTACTGAAAATGCAAATGGCCTAGAATGTTACATGAAGACATAATTAATTAATTAAAAGCACTTTCTGTAATCACTTCTAGCTAACAGGAAAAGGACTGAAACAACTGAAACTGTAGGAATTTCTTGAGGCAACAGTGTTATAAGTGCCAGAATTAAATCAAAAAAGGCTGTCTCCTTGAAAGATCATCACAAACTCTCGGATACAGTTCTCAGGTTCTTTTCAGACAAGGTTTTATAAAGAATTGTATTACAGAATTTCACAGGGGGAAAATAGTTATCAGCTAATCTCTTATGTTATTTAACTATTTCTTAGCCTTTTTAAAATATGGAATATCTATTAAGAAGGGAAACAGAGAAAGAGCAGGACTCTGTTTTGCAATTTGTAGATAGAAAATGCCCCAGTAAGGCACAGGGAGAAGAATTGTCCTGAGGGAAGTGGTCATGGCAACTTCTTTAAAGAGCTCTATTTCTATCTCGCATTTTTTAAAACCTTTAAAATATTTTCTTTACAAAAATATTTAAGTAGATATGTACAGAACGATCCATGCAGAGAACAGCTAGTTTTGAATGGTCCATGACTGGACACGTTTAATCCAGGCACAACTCTGAAACAGGCATACTTTGGGAGAAGCATTTCAGAGGGAGGAAGAGAGTGGGAAAAATCCAAGGACACTGGTTGCTAGGATGAAATAAAAAAAGGAGAGCGTTGGGAAGATTAGGGAAAGGGTAGGGCAGCCCGTTGGAGCCAAGGACTGTTTACTTACTGCAAAAAGTTTGATGCCTCTTGAATCACCAGACTCTGAAAGGGCTTACAAATAACATGCAATAGGTAACAATAGAGTAAACAACAAATTAACATGATCAATATATCAAAAATAGCATACCCAATCAACAGAGTATTATAAATTCATGACGTCTTTAACATCGAACAGGATTCATCCCAAACTCAGCTACCTATACCCATTCTTGCTTCAATTGCCAAATGTATTTTTAAAAATTGTGGTTTTTAAAGCTTTTTGAATGTTAGAAGTGAGGGCATGTTTCTTAAGCTTCTAATGGCGGACATTCCACAGGTTAGAAGTATCTGCAGAGAAAGTTCTTTTTTGTCCCCTTTGGCCAAACCTCATGAGGAATGGGATTCTCATCAAGCATCCTCTAATCTACACCAAGGTTTCTCAGCCTCGGCAACTTGAAGCTGTGTGGATTTCATCTTCCAGAATTCCTCAGCTAACATACTGGCTGGGAAATTCGGGCAGTTGAAGTCCATACATTTTCAAGCTGCCAAAGTTGAAAAACACTACTCTACAGACATAATTTGGGCAAGCAAATTCTATTTAGAGCCAGCAATTTTGAAACTGAAATGTTAAAGCTGATCACCAGCCCCTTAAAATGAAATAAAATCAAAATCAGGGAAATTAAAAGTAGGGTTGTGTTGAGCTCTGATGAGTTTTTTTTAATTCACACAGTGAATAAACCAAGTAGATGAGATCAGATGATATAAGTAACTAGCTGTAGATAGCCAAGGAGACAGCCTTGAAGCAGCTAATCAGAAATCATTATGTAAATAAACAGGATGGAAGCATTCTTTAAGTTCTGGGAAAGCTGATAGTATTAAGAAAAGACTCCAAAGACTCCTCCCTGATTCACTGAAGAGGGAAGGATGCAGAAATACAACAAACTGGCAAGATTCTTTTGTAATATAATAACCTGTTTCAATAAAGTATAGTTCTTATCAGGGGTAGGTTCTACTTACCTTTACTACCGGATCACAATGGGAGTACGCGCACTTCTGCGCATGCGCAGATTGTCAATTATGATGTCCGGGTGAGTGGGCAGAGCCTCCCCCCACTTTTACTACCGGTTCTAAAGAACCAGGAGCAACCCACCACTGGTTCTGATCATGTGGAGTGATCTGGTTCTCTCTTGAAGGGCTGACACTAGAACAGTTTACCCATTTTGGAACATCCTTAGGGAAAAATCTGATCTTCTATCTCAATTTGCAGCCACATTTATCTAAAAGTATGCTTAGCTGCAGTTCTTTAATTCTTTACAGCAGATGCTATTGAAAATGCAAAGAAATCTGAAACTATTCTAGAGTGGAATAATGCAATTTTTTAATTACCCAGTTTCATGCACTGTAAGCCCTACAATACAAACTTTAGAATTAAAATGTCTTTTAAATAATTATTTTCAGTTTTAAAGATTAAATGGCCAAATCTGTATAAGAGGATGATTTTTTTTTGAGATTTCTGATTTCCTGAGATCTTGGCATTTTTAAAAATCTTTTAATTTTTTAAAAACAGAATACTGTAACAGGTTAGTGCATGCCATCTAGTGGTATAACATTGTTAACTCACAATGAGATTAAAGTAAAATCACCTTCAATTGGCTCAAGTCCTGATGATTTACATGAATGCACCCATGCATTTTTCTTGGCATAATAGGAGGCAATTTGACTGTAATTTTTTCTGGAACGTTTGTTTTTGACTTCTCAGTTTAGCCCCTGCCCCTCCCAAAGAACCTGTACTTGAAAGTATTTAGTTAAGCAAATAAATAAAAATATCTGTAGTAATAGTAGTCAGTACTTGAAAGTACCAAGGAAGTAATGAATTCCATGAAGTATAGCTGGCCAAACTACTCCACTTGTATAGCAGAAAAATAGCAGCATTTAGTAGATTTGTAAACATTGATTCTAATAGTTTCACTAAATCAATTCAATGAATCATATCAATCTTACTGAATTAATTCAAACCTCTACAAAAAATACTGTTTAAGTTGCAGATTTTTCAATATATGTATCAATTTGAATCATTCCGACTGACAAACTGAATCAATGCGACAACTATTTACGAAGTTTGGTTTTGAAACTACTATCTGAACATTCAATTACAGTGGAGGTACGCATCTGAGATCATCTTTTCTATAGTGTATTTGCTCTCTGCTTGGGAACTCTTTAGCTTAGATTGCATAAATTAATTGATAGTAAATGAATGCATAATAATAATAATATATTTTAAAATTACATATTTAAATATTTTAAAAATAAAAATGTAAAAATCTTTTGGTCGTTTTAATAACATAATAATACCAGCAACAGCACTTGTAAGAGCACTCAGATTAACATTTTAAAAGTGTAAAATCTAAGAATATTTTGATACAGTAACCTCATTTATTTCAATATTAAGCAAAGTATTTAAAATGGAAATGTTAGCTACAGCAATACAGAATGACATGGAAGGTCTGCCTATATGTATGTTGGTATGTATGCATGTATTTGTTTGTTTAATTTCTACATGCCCCATCTCACCTAAATAATCCGGGGCATTTTACAGCATTTAATAAAATCACATAAATACATAAATAAAAGCACAAACAAAAAGGTTAAAACTTCCAAGTAAAGATAAACTCAATGTACAAAATTCAAAAGTCTAGGACAGTGGTTCTCAACCTGTGGGTCGCGACCCCTTTGGGGGTCAAACGACCCTTTCACAGGGGTCGCCTAAGACCATCGGAAAACACATATTTTCAATGGTTTTAGGAATAATTTTATGGTTGGGGGTCACCAGAACATGAGAAACTGTATTAAAGGGTCGCGGCATTAGGAAGGTTGAGAACCACTGGTCTAGGAGGTTAAAAAGGGAATGGGAGTGTCCTCAGGCCACCAGCCATCCCCAGGACTGCATTATACTTTTAGGCCCTCAAGATTATTGGTAAAGCTAGATTTTAACACTTTTTTTGGAAAATTAAAAAAGTGGAGGCTTGCCTCACCTCTGGGAATAGCATGTTTCATAAGCAGGGGTCCCCAATCCCCGGGTCACAGACTGGTACCGATCTGTGTACTGTTAGGAACCAGGCAGCACAACTGGAGATGAGCTCTGGGCGAGCAAAACTGTGCATGCGTGGGATTTAGGTTGTGTGCTCCTTCCCCCTCCCCCTCAGTCCCTGGAAAAATTGTCTTCCATGAAACTGGTTCCTCATATCAAAAAGATTGGGAATTGCTGCTATAGGGTATGAAATGGGGGATAAAAACCCTTGGTTTAAAAAAAAATAAAACCACTTCAAAAGAGGAAAAAACAGGCACAGCTCCAGTGCTTACCATGACATCTTGGTCCATCCTCTCCCTATTAAATCTGACTTCTTCCAACTGCAGTTTAGTTTCTTCCAGAAACTTGCTCTTGCTTTCCATCTCTTGCTTGAGAGCCAGTTTTTCATGTTGGGCCTTGATAATGTATTCTTCCTGTTCTTCCTTCAATTTCATCAACTGCTTCAGTTTTTCCTCCTCCTCTGCCAGCAATCTAACAAAGTTATACAGGATTTAGTTCATTCTCATTCTGTGAGTGATTTAGTGTCTAAAGTTTGAGTTAGTCCCATGGTTCATAAGCAACCCATAACACTGTGAAGGAAATTAGTAATTCTGCTCTGCAAAAGCAACAGATTGCCTCCTCTCTGGGAACAGTCCAGGGGTGGGTTCTACTTACCTTTACTACTGATTCGCAACGGGGCCGTGTGCGTGCTCTTCTGCGCATGCGCAGAAGCATTTTGATGACGTCCAGGTCGGTGGGCGGGGCCTCCTGCCGCTTTTACTACCAGTTCTATAGAACCGGTGCGAACCAGGGGCAACCCACCACTGGAACGGTCACTTGTGGTATCATAAAGTGAAGGAGAAAGAATTTGCTGGGAATTCTCTTTTTAAGGAATTCACACCTGCTTCTTCTCTGGTCTTTCTCTGTATCATCTTGCACCATCTCTATTCAAATGAGCAGTTTCTCTGTGGTGGTACCCACGTTAACACCCTGGCATTTGGGAGATGCTCATATTTTAGCACTCTTGATGACCCACCTTTTAATTCAGGCTTTTCCTGTGAAAAGTACCTTTCTCTCTTCTTATGTTTTTGTTACATATCTTTTACGCCTAATGTTTTTATTTATTATAATTTCATTTGCTAATATTTCAATGTTTTTCCTTCACTTTAATTAGGTACATAATTATATACTGCATTTGAGATATTTCAAAGTAGCAATGTCGTAAAAATAAATTCAATGCATAAAATGTCACCAAAATCTTTTGTCTTTTCTTATTTGCTTTTCTTATTAACCCAATTCCTCCCAGAAGTTACAATATATCAGTGCTATTCAGCAAATGCTACCTGGCCTGTTCATATCTCACAGACTCTTCATCTTGACGAGCTTTAATCTCCTGCTGCAGAGCATCTTGGAGTCGTTGCTGCATGTCTTCCAGCTCTGCGATGCGCTTGCGCTGACGTTCTGCCTCTGCCTCCTTCAGAACCATCTCTGCTTGCATGGAAGCCCGAGCCTGCAGGTGGGTGAAGTAAAGGCAGTGAGCAGCCAGAATGTATCCCAGCTAACAGCACTGGACTAAAAGCAGCCAGAATGTATCCTGGCTAACAGCACGGGGCTAAAAGCAACCTTGTCCTCAGCAATAGCTGGTGAAGTTGGTAACTGGTAAAGTCTCTTGTTTTATCTGGACACCAACAATGTTATTTTCCATATATATAACGCACACACACCCATTAACCTGCCACATTTTAGGTTACTAGATTATAATGGTGGGTGGAGATGATGAGTCCACTGTATCTGGAGAAGGCAAATATAAGTCACTAATGATGATCTGTATAAAAAAAAAATTAAACAGGTCATGGCTCCAAATATATCATGTGGGGCAAAACTTATGGAAACGTTATCATGACTTATAAACAATTTTGATTTTAAAAAAGAATGATGTGCTATCAAGTTCATGTTGACTCTTAATGATTATGTAATTACATCTTCTGCAGGAATTGTTTTATAACAGTTTTAAGGCCATTAAGTCACAGAAATCAGTAAAAGTGTTCAAACGAACCATTAAAAACAGCAGCTGATAAGATCATAAGAATGCTTAGGGGAGTAAGTAGGTTTCTAAAGCTGAGTGTAAACACTCTACAATGGGGCCCAACCTAAGCTCTACTAGAAGTTTATCGTACAAGAGAATGGCCACCTACACTCAACGACTGGTTCAATATTAGCATTCAGGAGAACAATTAGGAGGGTTTGTTCTTAAAGTGAAAAGGCCTAAGAAACCTACATGGAAATTGGGGGTTCCTTAAAATAATATTTTCATGATCTGTTTAAGGTCTACAAACAATTAAAGAAAACAATTATATAGAATTACAGAGTTGGAAGGGACCTTGGAGGTCTTCTAGTCCAACCCCTTCCTTAGGCAGAAAACCTCACACCACTTCAGACAAATGGTTATCCAATCTCTTCTTAAAAACATGCAGTGTTGGAGCATTCACAACTTCTGGAGGCAAGTTGTCCCACTGATTAATTGTTCTAACTGTCAGGAAATTTCTTCTTACTTCTAGGTTTCTTCTCTCCTTGATTAGTTTCCACCCATTGTTTCTTTTCCTGCCCTCAGGTGCTTTGGATAATAGTTTGACTCCCTCTTCTTTGTGGTAGTCCCTGAGATACTGGAACACTGCTATCTTGTCACCCCTAGTCCTTCTTTTCATTAAACTAGACATACCAATTCCTGTAACCATTCTTCATATGTTTTAGCCTCCAGTCCCCTAATCATCTTTGTTGCTCTTCTCTGCACTCTTTCAGTAATACATCCTTGAAAATGACTGAGCAGCAAATCAGGTACTAATACAATACACAATCTTCAATTTTTAGTGCCCAGTAAGAGATTCCACTAAATATAGACACAGAATTCTGATATAGCTGCAGCCTCTTTAAAGGCACAAGGCAAACCCATACATTGCACTTTGCAGTAACTGAATTTGGACTTCTTGTGGCAGAGATTTGCCCAAGAGAATCTGCAATAGTAAGACCAGTCAAAACTGATGGAAGATGCTCTTATTCACTGAGGTTCCTTGGGCCTCTAGTGTTAAAGCTGAATCTATACGCCTATTTGTGCAAATGATATAGCGTTACCCAAAACAGGTAAATCACTCAATCCTAGATCAAAGAACCTTAATTAATTGTTAGATTTATAGCACACCTTCCCTCAAGAAGATCAACAGAGTTTATATTGCATTATTTCCTCCATTTCTTGTTTCCCAAACCAGCAATCATATGTGGTAGGTTGAATGAGAGCAAGTGACTTCTTAGTCCCACATTTAGAACTCTAGACTAGGCCAGGGGTCAGCAACCTGTGGCTCCGGAGCCGCATGCAGCTCTTTGGGCCCTCTGCTGTGGCTCCCTGTCAGGTGATCTCACCACTGGCTGACCCCACCCCTCACCCTTCCCTCCCAGTCACTCCTTGCCTGGCTTGAGAAGGTAAGGGCGACCGCGGAGGATGGGAGAAGCAGCCAGGGCAGAGACAGAGAGATACAGAGAGAGAGGGAGAGAGAGAGACATAGAGAGATACAGGGAGAGGGAAGAGAGAGATATGTCAAAAGGATTTTGTGGTTCCCAGTGTTTTTTAACAATCGGTTCTCTGCCCTAATGACTGGTTGGGTAGGCATGGCTGGGGGACGTCATGTGACTGGTGGAAGTGAGTGACATCGAGTTGGCCATGCCCACCCAGGTTTTGTGGCTCCTGTGTTTTCTTTTCTGTGGGAAACGGGTCCAAATGGCTCTTTAAGGTTGCAGACCCTTGCTATGCTGGCATTTAAGGCTTTTGAATTACTCTTTGTGGCAGACAGAGGTCACTGTTATCCTACGTTGGATAAATTGACTGTTCAGAATGTTCTACTGTACAAATTTAACATTCTTTTCTGCTACTGTTCATTTCATACAGAGTCAGAGTACTACCTGATGCACTGCAATTCCTTTTAGAGCTTTGTCTGCATTAAAAATGTCAAGACAACAGGAAGTAGTTCAGGGCAGGTCCATATTTATAGTGAACCTATCCATGAAGGCAAGCAATTTACCAGTTCACAGTGTTATTAAGAAGCATGTTACAACCTGTACAGTAATAAGCCATAAATATTTAGTCTGCTTCCTTAGGCCTACATAAGAAACTGGCTGAGATTGTATATTCTCCTTTACCACATTCTGTGTGATCATATAACATGTTTGCCCATTACTTCCCCCCCCTCTCTTTTATTCTCCATCTGTTTGTCTGCCCTTAGCTATTTAGGGATATCATAAGAAGGCCATGTTTACAGTTATTAAGCAATTAAATTATAATGTTCAACTTTAGTTAAGTAAGGCCAGCTTCCATTACTGTTTGCATTTCAAATAGATGCATTTTAACTCAACCAGAAAATTTATTCTAAATGTCCCCAAGAACATGTTTTATGTGAGAAGAAGCTGTGGAGCTAGCAAGCCATTCAAAATGGCATAAGATTCTAATCATTTCTGTTTCATTGATTGATATAATATCTTTAACAGGCTATGTATCTCCCAAGGGTCTGCTTTGAGTGTGCATACTTGTTCTGCTTCCTGGAGCTGAATTTCCAACATCTTCTGCATCTCCTCATGTTGCTGCTGGCGCTGTTGCTCTTCTTCCTGGAGTAAAAGTTCTGCTTGCTTCTGAGCCTCTTTGAGCAGCTCCAATTCCTGCAGCTTGCGCTCCTTTTCTTCCTGAAGCTGCTTCAGGCGTTGCATTTCCTCTTCCTTGGCAGCCTTCTTTCGTTCTCGCTGCTCCCGCTGCTCCCTCCTCTTCTGCTTTAAGTCCTTGTGCAGAGACTTCTTACCTTCTGCTTGGAGACGGATTGCCATCTGGATGGCTGCCAAAGGAACAGAAGCATCAGCAGGGCTCCAAACTTTTGCTCTCTTAATCATAGACCTTAAGGAACACCTTTTGCCTCAGGATATAAAATCAGTCAATCACAAGTTTTAGATCAATATGCTGCAATTTGCCAAAACAGTGTCCACTTTTGCCAGAGCTGCAAAAGTGGCCACTGTGAATAGACAAGTTTACAAAACTCAAGTGTAGTTTGAGAAATATTTCTTTTCTTTTAATTTGTATTAATTTTTATTGTTGTAATAGAATTTTAACAGAATTACTATATTTTTTTAAAATGACTTTGCAATTCTACTGCGGAACAGTCTTCCCAAGGAAACTTTATTTCAAATTGAGGCAAAAAAAGCTACTTCATACTTGTTTAATTTGTGGTCTCCACAAGGATCTCTATAAAGATCTCCAAAAGAACACTGTTAAAAAAACCTGTGTTCAAATCCGAAGCTAGTTCCGACATTGACACTAAATCTAAAGCACAGATGCTTTTTAACCTTTGGTAAAAATACTAGCAATCCGATTAAGTTCAGTCATGCTCTACAAGAAGATGGCCAGTCCATAAAGAAGTCTGCCTAAAAAAATGACAGACTTATTATTAAGCAGTTCAACTTCTTCATCTCAGATCATCTTAAGGGAGAACCAGGATGCAGCAATGCAAAGCACCATGAGAATAACTCACCCAATGTCCACTCCTGTCTTTGCTTGGTATCTGAGGCACTCATTTCATAGGTCCGTGAAGATGTTTTCACACAGAACATACAACGTTTCCCATCTTTATCAGGCAAAATCTTTGAATCAGGAAAGAAGTGAAATTTGAGCTATAATCTCAAGTGCAACAGTGGAGACTTCGTTATTAATAAGCATAAAATATGTTACTCCCAACCTAGTTGAAGATGGTCCCCTTTCCTATGTCATCTCCCAAGTTAAGAACAACCACATTCCAATTACGATGTGGTTATGTGGCAGACAGGCCACACAAATAGCCTTTTTTAGCTCATTGGGACAACTTTAAGCATATTAACATCACCATGTTAATCTCCTAATGACTGAAGTGATACTCTTGTCTATCACAGGAGTAGAATAATTGGGAAAACCTTAGAAAATGATGTTTCTCAATTCAAATTCCTCTTTGAATCCTTTTTTTTCTAATGGAAAATTTGCCCCTCATTTCTCCACTTTTATATAAACGGGCCTGAGTCCATATTCAATTCCTAGTTCTTGTCAATCTCTTAATTTTAGCCAGAATATGTAAATGACATGACAAAAATAATATACTGCTCAAAAAAATAAAGGGAACACAAGCAGAAGACATCCGAGATCTGAATGAATGAAATAGTCTTATTAAATACTTTATTCTTTACATTCAGTAGTTTATACACTGCTTAAACAACTAAAGGGAACACAAAACTACTGTATGTAACGAACAAAGTATTTAATAAGGCTATTTCATTCATTCAGATCTCGGATGTCTTCTGCTTGTGTTCCCTTTATTTTTTTTAGCAGTGTAATATGCTGATAAGCAAATACTTCCTTCAGAACTGAGAGTTTCTCAGAAATGCAAATTGCATTTGGAGTGGGGATAGCTAAATTGGTTTATTACAGTAAGGAAGGTGACCTAGGCAGAAATGTTCAAGAACATTACCTAGGAAAATAGGAACTGAAACATTTTTTAACAAGAGCAAAGATGTAACATTTAGAAGTCACTCAAAGAGAAGCATCCCTAATTTGCTTGAGTGTTTGAACGGGGAGAACGTGCAACACAATCAGGCTTCCATGATTATTTTATTATAACTAATTCAATAAAAGTAGTTTAGCCTTCATGTGAAGTCATTTTCTGGTCTGGTGTACGTGATGAGGCTGACAGTTATAGCAAAACAATTGAGATCCTTGTGGTACCTCAAGATGAATAAACTTATAATGGCATCTGTTATTCAGTCTAATGACCTGAATTCCAATCTACAAATTGTATTACAAGCTTTCTATAACTTTTAGTTACTTTTTGAAATTATTTTGAGATATTCTGCCATCTTTGAATAGAACTGTGCATTTTAAAGTGCTCTTTTCCTTTATTTTTAAAATAAAATATATCTTTTTCTTCCCATATGAAACAATTTTTCTTCCCATATTGAATAATTTCTAGCGAAGCATGTTTTCATGTTTTAGTTACTTCTTATAGTTGTAAATTATACAAAATGCAATAACTAGGCTGGTGACCATGTTAACAGGGCAAGATTGATCTCATAATTTTTACATTGTCCAGTGACAGAAGCTAAAAGCTCACAACTATCAAAAATATACTGTCAATTATTCTCTGAGCACAATATGGACAGTGTAATTATTAATATTTGCCAACAGTTCAGAAATGTTAACGCTCAACTAACTGGATATTTGAGTTTCCAGAATATAAAATCTACCTTCTTGGGAATTCTATTTAGACTTCTGATTCTAGATTTAAGAAATTTGTGAATAAATGTTTTTATAGACAGAATTTTAAAAGGCAATGATTGTGGTGATTGTTTGATTTGTTTGATTAGAATTATCTATGCCTTGAATATCTTCAGCTTGTTTACTATTTTGGATATGTAAGGATCACTAGGAATATTAATATTCCTTCCAGTCAAGGTGCCTCCACAGAAATAATTCTGTGTTCCATAATTGTAATGGGCTGAAGGAATAACCCCAAGGAGGAGGAAGAACAGCAACCAAAACAAGTCAGATAAAATAAATGAGAGTCTGAAGCAGGAGTGAAATTTAAAAAGTTTCCTGGGGGGGGGGGGGGAGTCACATTCAGACTTGCAAAATTCTGTGATCTTTTTATTTTCTTTATATATTTATTTCCTGCCTATTATTACTATAAATAACTCAAATCAGTTAATACATACAATACTTCTCTTATTTTCTCCACAACAAAAACCTTGTGAGGTGGGTTGGGCAAGAGACAGTGACTGGCCCTCCTGCCTTTATGCCTAAAGTGGGACTAGAACTCTCAGTCTCCTGGCTTCTAGCCTGAGCCTTAACCACAAGACCAAACTGGTTCTCATTATAACTACCTGATATTAAAAGTAGCATTTGCATTCATAACTTGGTTTCTTAGTCTGGTCTACCTTGAAGGGCTGACAATAAATTTGGAATCAGAAGTGCCCCACTTGCATGTTATCTTACTACTTCTCTTTACTTTAAGAGATGGGGATTGTTGGAAATCTGTCTCTTGGTTTTGTGAATACTAGAGCAGAATTCATTCAAATTCCCACTCCAGCTGTATTAAATTTCTGCAGTCACCTTCCCTCCAGTGAGGTAGTGGAATTAATTTGAAGGATGTTTTATTTGGTTCTTGCCTCTTTTGCCTTATTTATTGGAGGCGTCTTTGTGTTGGTAAGCCAGGAACTTTAGTAGTTGCTTTTCTGTCTATATCCTAGCTAAAACTGTTGGGGTACGGTCTGTGGAATGAAAGGATAAAAATGATCTATCTGAAATTTCCATGTTCATTGTGGACCAAGTAAAGTCTATGATGACTTGTTTCTCTTCTGGGTCCTGGACTATTGCAGCAGGATTTGCTGGATTTATTCATATTATTTCAGTTCTGTTGTGCCTCAACCCATGTTTCTTATTGGGTTCATCTTCAGTACAAAAAATGCATTGATTTTCTCCTTCTTTGGAGAAAACAAACAAACTACATCTTTTCTGCTGCTTTTTTGGGGGGGGGGGGTTGGCCAATGGTGGGACAAATTGATGAGAGGCTGAATCAATATTCACAGTGGATAATACACAATTATTTTTCAATTGGTAGGAGGCTCTGTGGATTTTACTCCATTAGCTGTTGCCTATTATAGGAGGTGGCGCTCATCTCCATTCAAGGGCTATTGAGCCAGGGCTGTCCAAAGACATTTCCATGGTCATGTGGTCAGCATGACATCACTGAGTGCTACCTTCCCACCTAAGTGGGTACCTATTTATATACTCGCATTTGCCTGCTTTCGAATTGCTAGGTTAGCAGCAGCTAGGATGAGAGCTTACCCCATTATGCAACGCTCTGGTCTCAAACCTGGGCTATTGGCTTTCCAGCTGACAAATCCAGCATCTTAACCTCTGAGCCATTGTATGGCCAACTGGTATACATTTACATGTAAATGTATACCAGTTGGTATCTGTAAATGTTGATGTAATTGATAATCTAGATCACCTTAAAAAGTTTTGAAGAGCTAAATCAAAGTGGAGGAACAAAATACCAACAAGCTGCATGAGATTTTAGGCTTCGGTCATTACTGATATTTTTACTGATAGGAAAAGAGAATCACTGCTTATTTTTTACTTTCAGTAAAAGCAATTGCTGTTTAGAGTAGAGTGGAAGAAAGTTGTTGTGGGGAGAAAGTTTGTGCTGTTTAGGGAACAACATGTTTTCTTTTTTTTTTTTAACTCTTGAAAATATAAATCTTGTACTTGTTAGAAATGTAGAACTAATGGAAATTTACATTTTGGCTTTTACACATTGTACTATCTTCAAGATCGGAGAATACCTGGAGAACATCACATTCAAACCTGCCTTAAAGCTGGAAGAGAAAGCACCACTCCTCACATACATGTGAGGGACCAATTGTTTACTGGCATCAGACTAACATACATTACTAATCTCTTTTTTTTTTTTAAACAAAACTTTATTAAACATAAAAAGTAAAATGTTATACCGTGTATATACAAAATACATATATTAATACAGATGAGAATACACAAAAAAGTGACTTTGGTCTCACGTCCATTGTCTTATTAACGGTGCATATTTGTTAATTATTATTATTGTACAGAATTTTACATTTACTCTCATTTCTATGAGTTATCCAATTATACCACCTATTCCACGCTATATAACCTTTTGAGTCTACCTTATCCTTCATTTCAAATGTTAGTTTGTCCATTTCCGCACAATTATAGATCTTTTGGATTATCAATTGGTCTGTTGGCAGTTGATCAGTTTTCCAATATTGGGCGAGCGCCAATCTCGCTGCAGTGACTACAGTATATGTAATATTAAGTACTTTATTTCTTTCCTATAGTTTTCTTTAATCATCCTTGATTAAAGATTACTAATCTCTTAATAAAACAATATATTATACTTGTGACCATTACAAGTATAAAAGGCCAACATGCTCTTTTGCAGTAAAAATGTCCAATTACCTCCACACATGAATTTCTGTCCAAACAAATGCTCCCTTTCTTTTCTTTACGTTCTTCACTCACATAATATGAGAGATCACCGGGCTTCAGGGTAAACCATCGCTCACACCAGTTCCTTCTTAGATGGCCTTTCTTCCACAGATAGCCCTATAGTGGGAATGAAGAGGAAAAGCACATATAATAATCAAAGATTTATACAAAAGCTCTTTACAAAAGATCATTTAACAACAAATTATGTCACAAAAAGAGACCAAATCACATCCAGGGCACATCCACAGTGTGGGCTGGCTGTGAACTATGCAATTTAACACATTATCAAGCAACTATGTGGATACTATGCATCGCATGGCAATGCAAGGCTTCTTAAGTAGTGCTTGTCCTATTCCAGTGATGGCGAACCTTTTAGACACAGACACACAGGCACAAACTTTGCGCGTGCGCATGTCCAAACTAAAAGGTGTGTGCGTGTGCATGAACGCACACATGTGCGGACATGCATGGGCACGTACGAATGAGTGCATGCATGGACATGCGCATATGCATGAGACCCGAACACCAGCTGGCCAGCGGGAGGTGGGGCATCTCAACACTGGCAGTGCGGCAAGAGGTAAGATCTCTTTCTTTCGTGAACTTCTGTTTTGTCGTTTGCAGGGAAACAGAAGCTCACGAAATAAATACCACAGAGATCTGACCTGGGGTGACTGTGCGCGTGCCAGTAGAGAGGACTCTGTGTGTCACCTCTGGCACGCGTGACAAGTTCACCATCACGGCCCTCTTCCATTGAGAAGCAAAATCCTTCAGTGGCAAATTGGACTGCAAAGAATAGAGCTGGTTCCACGTTTGGATATTCTTCTTTGTTAACCATTCTTCATGATTAGAAAATCAACTGGCTGAAAGGTAAAACCAACCCCCACCCACTCACCTAGATTAATTTCTTTATGTTCTGAGTTATACATAGAGGGCTGTTCAGAAGAGAGATCCACTATTTGTAGCCCAAATTGTTTCAGTCTGTTCCACCACTATATTTTTCTGTATATGTAAGAACAGCCTTTTTAACTACTTAAGATATTTCAACATACTGTATGTTGCAATAGAACAATACCTAGACAATCAATACCTTATAGTAGTTCTCAAGTGATAAATGAAAGAGGGGGAAAATAAAATATCAACACCTTGCATGGAGATTTTGTGCTGCAAATCTTTGTTGCTTCTGTATGTGCCATGTACTGATTCTCCTCCACCCTGGTTTGCTCCTGCTCATATGATTTGTGACTATCAGGAATGCTGACTCGCTTTCCTTCCTCTTTGTGCAGAGATGCTGGCGGCAAGGTGGAGGATTGATGATCTCAATCATTCCCAAATTAAAACCCTCAAATCAAAACTCAAAATCCACATCCTTTCAAGATATCTTAAACCACTGGGGATGGTCTTAGGGTTCAGTTACATGCACCAGATAAGCCTTTTTAAAAATAGGAGCAGGAACAAATCCAAAGCTGTGAACAAACTTTATTTCCTGACTGTGAGCCAAACAGGAACAGATAAGGATGGTGCATCATGCTATTTAACTACTGGCACAATGAGGGAAGTGTGTATGGCTAATTGAACAATCAGAGTGCTTTCCGGTGCAATAACAGTCACAAAAGGAGAGTGAGGTGCTCTCTTGCAAGCCAGCTCCACCACCAGCTCCAGCCTTCTTTTCCTTGTGATTTTTTTTCTGCTGATGAGATGTAAGAGGCTGCACATAATCAAAGCAGATTCACTGGTCCCTAACCAACTAGGTGTTTCACTTTTCTTTTACAGGTAATCCTCAACGTATGATTGAGCCCAATCATACGTTGATTTTGGGCCCAATTGAGCCCAAAATTTCTGTTGCTAAGGGAAACCTTTATTAAATGAGCTTTGCCCTCATTTTACAACTTTTCTTGCCACATTTGTTAAGTGAATCACTGCAGATGTTAAGTTAGTAACACAGTTGTTAAGTGAATAGAATAGAATAGAATAGAATAGAATAGAATAGAATAGAATAGAATAGAATAACAGAGTTGAAGGGACCTTGGAAGTCTTCTAGTCCAACCCCCTGCCCAGGCAAGAAACCCTACACCACTTCAGACAAATGGTTATCCAACATCTTCTTAAAAATTTCCAGTGTTGGAGCATTCACAACTTCTGGAGGCAAGTTGTTCCACTTATTAATTGTTCTAGCTGTCAGGAAATTAGAACTCCTTAGTTCTAAATTGCTTCTCTCCTTGATTAGTTTCCTCCATTAAAATCTGGATTCCCTTTGCTTGTCAGAAGGTCACAAAAGTTGATCACATGGCCCCGGGACACTGCAACAGTCATAAATATAAGTCAGATGCCAAGAATCTGAATTATGATCTTGAGACTGTGGTGAAAAAGTCATAAGTTACTTCTTTCAGTGCCATTGTAACCTCGAACAGTCACTAAATGAATTGTAAGCCAAGGACCACCCGTACTTGCCATATTTTTCTTTTCTCATTACTGTCATAAATTAGATAAAATTTTCCATCCAATTAATCCAATTGATAGTTATTCAATGGATAACCGGAATGCCCAGCAAATGTTGGGGAACAAGACAGCAAGGATTTTCCTAAAGAGAAAAGAGCTACCACCAAATCATAATTTTTCATAATCCGAGCCAGATGCTTAACAGAAGCACACGGACAGAAGATAGCTTTCTGTCTTATTTTAAATCTCATAATGTAGGAAATAAAGTAGTCATCACTGATTCAGTGCCGTCAGTGGCCTTATTCTTAACTTGGTAGTGCCATAGTTTATTTTTTATCTACTCATTAAAGCCATTTTTCAATTCTTCTAATTAAGAGATAATTCTTTACCTGTTTGAGCACATCCCCAATGATCTCCTGGTAAACCTCTTCAATGGCCATGCTAATGGCCTCACGCTCAATTCCCCGCAGTAATCGGCCAGAGTTTACCAAATCAAGAAATTGCCAGACTGTCAAACCATTCTGTTGCTGGGTCTCTTGGGAAAAATAGTCATCTAATTCCCCACTATTAAGCTCAATGCTCATAGCTGTACATATCTTCTTCAAGAGGTATTCCACCTGAAAAAAAATGAGTGATATCAAGGTAAAACAACAGCCAAACATTCCACCTTTGGAACAATATATAGTCCTTTTACATTCATGTAGACTTTCTCTTTCACAAGTGACATGGTGATGGGACATGGGCAAGCTAAAATGGTACTGTCAGTGGTTAAGGTATTGAACTGGCAAGAGGGAAATCAGGTTCAAAATCACTCTCAGATACTTCACTGGGGGTCAAGTGTCAAGCCCAAAGTAACAGTATTATCAGCACATCACCAAGAAAGGAGGATTTACAAAGAGTCTTTTTAATGGCATGAAATCAAGAAAATGGGTTAAGTTACAGAAGGATGGAAAGTAGATATGTATACCAACCTGCATTTATTAGTGGGTATAGAGAGCACTGATAAGCTTGGTCAACTTTAGAATAGTCTGCATGGAATGGGAAATAGAAACAGTGATATGTAGAAGTGCCTTAAAGTTCAGGGTTTGGGGTTTTGTTTTTTTGTTTTTTGTTTTTTTGCCACCTGGTATTAATCCTACCCACTGACTTAGAAATGTCACATGCACACTGGAAGCTACTGCTAACAGCTAAAAAGCTAGAAAAATCCAAATCCTGCTCTTGTGGTCTTAAGAGTTTACTCAAGCACTAAGGAAGTCATGTGATTATTTCTCTTTTCCTTCTTTGAAGTGGCAGGTGCAGCCTACAACAGCAGACTACACAGATTGCACAAAGCTCCCTTTACTTTTGCCTGGGCTTCTTTTCCAGGCCAGTCTATGATTGGGAGAAAGATTCCATATACAGCATACAAAGCCACCATAGAGCTACATTCTTTACAATTTGCTCCCTTTCCAGATACTACTACTTGGGTTTTAACTTCTTGCCTTATCCAGTAGGTTAGTATTGTCAATCTCAACAACTTTAAGTTTGTGTGGACTTCAACTCCCAGAATTTCCTACCTAGCGTGCTGGTTTTAGAATTCTGGGAGTTGAATCTACACATCTTAAAGTTGTTGAGGTTGAGAAACACTGACAGAACAATTTCCCAAATGTATACAGTATAAAAAATGAATCACAGCACTGAAAGAAACCATAGAGACCCTTTGCTCAGTGCAGGATCCACCACAGCATCTTTGACAGATGACCAGGCTGTGTTTAAAGATCTCTAGTGAAGCACAACTTGCCACTTCATGAGGCAGTCTGTTCCACTGGCTAGCAATTCATACAGTCAGGAAGTACTTTCTAATGTCTAACAACTTTTAATTTTAAGCACTGGTTCTGGAGCCAACCTCCAGGCAACAAAATATAAATCCATTTCTTCTTTTGTGTGATAATATTTAAGATATTTGAAGAATGCTTTAGTTTTAGTTTTCCTTTTTGTAGGTTACATATTCCTAGTTCCTTTAACTATTCTTCATAGTGTTTGCTTTCCAGACTGTTTACCATCGTGATAGACTTCCTCTAAATATGTCACTGCCCTTTCTGAACTGTGTACCCACAACTGAACTGGCAGTTTCTTTCCTTTCCTCTACTCTTAACGAAAGACTTTGGCCTCTCCAATCTTGATATGCTAAGCTAGTTGCTTCACAGCTTTTTGTAGATCAGAAAAAATAGAAATAGAAAATAGAGAGGAGTAAAAAGTGCAAGGAAAAAAGAAAGTAAAAATAAAAAGGTTACAGGACATAGCCTATCCATAGAAACAGACATACTGACATTGTTGATATTTTCTGATTCCTTGTTTCAAAATTCTGCTTCAGTTTTTTATTGTCATAACCATCTTGCAGGTCTGTATAGCTTTCCTCAGTCTAAAATCTTTAGTCCCCACTTGTACCAGTTTTTGAAATCATGAAATTATCTATGTTGAAAAAACCAAAACAGGATCTATACCTCAGAAGAAGCTGTTTATAATTAATTACAAAATTGTATTGTAACAGTTTCAGTATTTCCATTTTATGTGGACCCTTAGTCTCGTTAACACTTTCTAAGATCAAAAACTTTTAGCTTTTTGCTAAATTTTTAGATACTTTAAAATTCTTAAAATTAAATTTTTATTTCATTCAGGGTTAGACTCACCCAGCATTTTAAACTTGTCATTCTGAAATTTTCTAATAGCTTAGAAGTAGTTTATGAACAATTTTTGAAAATGATTAGAAAGTGAGATTTGCAAACTCAGTCAGTACCCTTTAAAAGATTCTGCCATAGTTGCAGGCAGATGGCTAATCCTTTTGACTGCCAGCATTCAAACCCATTGAAAACTATCCTGCAGTTTCTTTGCAGGGAGCAGCTATCTGGAACAGATGTGGGTAATCTCCTGTCCTCTCCTTACCCAGAGAGGGTGCAAGGACCTGGTCTACTCACCAGTTCCTTTGTTCTTTCATCATATTCAAATTCAACATACCTTCCTCACAATTCTGGTAACTGCACATTTTTATAATGCGAGCAATTATAATTATATGTCTGACATAGTCAGGGGTGGGACTCAGATGGTTCAGACCGGTTCAGGTGTACCGGTACTCCGACGATCAGGTTGGCCTGCCCACCCTACCTTGTGCGTTTTACTTATATTTATCTTCTTCCGCTGATTCGCGCTGCAAAGCGGATTGCTGCGCCTCAGCTGTGTTAGTCCCCAGAAGTAACACGGAAGCTTAGTTTTGTCAAAACTGCACGCACACACGCAGCGATCACCGAACTGGTTGTTAAAAGCAATCACTGAACTGGTTGTTAAACTGGCAGGATCCCACCACTGGACACAGTAAGCACGAACTTATCTGATTTGTGTGATTGCACAGCCTACTTCACCCTGGAAAACTGCTAAACCATAACATAATATGAAGACCTATATCAACTAAGCTGGTTTTATTAGCTCTTCTAAATTTTTCAGGGGTTATATTTCATATTTATTTCAAACAGCCATCCCTGTCTTTTAGTACTATGTATCCAAAACATTACTTTCAATATAAACTTAAACACTCAAAAGTCTCCATTACTTGTCGTCGTCATCAAACCATTCTGTCAAACAGACTTTGTGTTAGCAAATCAAATGGTTAAGCAAATTCTAAGAACCCAACAGGGCTTACCCTGTTGGGTTCTTAGAATCCAAGAAGAAACCAGCATGGTTGCACAAAGATCTCTCTGGTAAACTGGAAGACAAAAAGGACAATATAACTAAGGAACACATAACTAAGGCAGAATATCAGCAAATTGCCTGAATCTGCAAAGGCTCAGAATGAACAAAGACTTGCAACAAAAGTCAAAAAAGTTTATTTCAACATATAAATTAATAAGAAATAAAATCATGGAAACAGTCGGTCCACTAAAGAGAGAAGATGGCAAGGAAGTAACAGGCAGTAAAGAGAAAGCAGAGCTGCTTAACTCATTCTTTGCACCAATCTTCATGCAAAAAGAAACTATAGTTCAATCTACCAAAAACATAACCATAAAACAGACTAGAAATAAAGATTAAAATAAATAAGAAAATGGTAAGAGAACACCTGTCTGATCTTGACGAATATAAATCACTGGGACCTGACAGATTACATCCCAGAGTTCTGAAGGAGCTGGCAGATGTTATCTCAGAACTATTTTATCATATCTTTCAAAAATCCTGAAGCACTGAGGAATTACCTGAGGGTTGGAAAAGAGCTGGTGTGGTTGCCATCTTGAAAAATAGAAACAAACCAACCAACCCAGGAAACTACAGACCAATCAGCCTAACATCAATACTTGGAAAGATACTGGCAAAGATAATCGAAACACAGATTTGCAAACATCTAAAAACAAAAATATATATATAACTAAAAGCCAGCACAGGTTTGTCATTCTTTGACAAAGTGCATAAATTAGTAGACCAGCAAAATGCTCTGGACACAGTATGTTTAGATTTCAGCAAGGCATTCAACAAAGTAGACCACAACCTACTTCTTGTTAAACTAGAAAAATGTGGGCTAGACAACATCACCACCAGATGAATTTGTAACTGGCTGACAACGGGGCCTATCCAACAAAATGAAATTTAATGTGGAGAAAAGCAAGATTTTACACAGGCAGGAAAAACAAAATGTAGAAGTAAAGATCAGGCAAAACCTGGCTCAAAAATAGTAACTAGTAAATAGTAAGTCTAGAGAAAAGGACTAGAGAGGGACATGATAGCAGTATTCCAGTATTTGAGGGGCTGCCACAAAGAGGAGGGGGTCAACTTATTTTCCAAAGCACCAGGGGGCTGGACAAGAAAAAATGGATGGAAACTAATCAAGGAGAGAAGCAACCTGGAATTAAGGAAAAACTTCCTAACAGTGAGAACAATTAACCAGTGGAACAGCTTGCCTTCAGAAGTTGTAGGTGCTTCATCACTGGAGGTATTTAAGAAGAGACTGGGCAACCACTTGTCTGAAAGTTATAGGGTCTCCTGCTTGAGCAGGGGGTTGGACTAGAAGACCTCCAAGGTCCCTTCCAACTCTAGTCTGAATGAATGAAAGGGCTCACTTTTTATTTTCCTGATACTGAAGGTCTGGCTGGCTACTATTGCCTACAGGAAGTTGTTATTTGTATTCTCCCATCACATCACTTAAGCTTGCCCTAAGAGAACATTGTTTTTGAGCAATACTATGCTGAAGCCATGTTGTGGGAAGATTCAAATAACTTCTTCACATGGAGAGCACTAGCCTGGTGCATCTTTCAATACTGCAGGACTGGATCCCCTATGCATCTCACAATACTCATCCATCTAGCACAGGGGTGTCAAACTCACAGTCCACGGGCCAGATGGGTCACACGCTGGCCACCCCCACCCCCGGTTTAGCGAAGGGGGGAAAGTCTTGATATGTCACGTGACGACAACAAGACGCCGCAACTTTGACATCCCTGATCTAGCACACATTTGAAAGCCTACCACAACTCAGTTGAACCTAGAATGGGAAGGAAAGAGCATTTAAGTTCTTTGGGCTCAGAACTGCAACATCAACAAAAGTACAGTACTACTGCTCCAAGATGTTGACTTTCCTCTCCAAAACAAAATATTAACTGAAACGTGACTCCAAACAACTCTAGTTTACCAAGACCTTTTTTTTTTACAATTTAAAGAAACAGGAAATACTTTGGTGGAAACAGGAAACTTAGCTGCTGACTTCATATTCATGCAATGTTTTTTTTTTCTGCTGAAGAAGGGGGGGAGTAGGATGAGGCAATCTAGAAGAGAGCAGAGTGTGAAGGAAAAGAAAGTTGACTACATCTACCTGCAGATGTTAGACAATATGAGGGAAAGTACAAGAGCCAGGAAGATGATACATTTATTTCTGGCTAATCTATAGCTGCATTTGAGGCCAACAGAAGTGAGGTGTTATACATTAGATTAAAAAAAAAACTTTCCTCTTATCAGCAAGCACTGTGGAATTTAGAGTTTATACTATTATTAGTAGTTCTACTTCACTGGACAGCATCTCTTGACTACACTTAACCATTTTAGAGAGTTAATGAAAGTCATTAATTCATTATAGAATCAAATTAGCATTGTGTTTAAGAGATTGAACTGGAGCTGGGAAGTCCCAAAGTCAGGCTGCTATTTAGCCACAGAAGGTACTAGATGATTTTAGGCTAGTTTCTTTCTCTGAGACAAATCTATCTTACAAGGTATTTGGAGGTAATCTTTCCTTTTATCTCCACATACATTCTGCTTCAATCTCCAGAAAAAAAGGAAAACATGGATGCAATAATATTTTCTTTTCGGGTAGAGAATAGAATAGAATAGAATAGAATAGAATAGAATAGAATAGAATAGAATAACAGAGTTGGAAGGGACCTTGGAGGTCTTCTAGTCCAACCCCCTGCTTAGGCAGGAAACCGTACACCACTTCAGACAAATGGTTATCCAATATCTTCTTTAAAACTTCCAGTGTTGGAGCATTCACAACTTCTGGAGGCAAGTTGTTCCACTGATTAATTGTTCTGTCAGGAAATTTCTCCTTAGTTCTAAGTTGCTTGTCTCTTTGATTAGTTTCCACCCATTGGTTACATAGAATGAGTCTAGAATGGCTGCTGCAACCCACAGCAGCTATTTTGTGCATAAAAGAAAAGAATTCAAAATACATCCCACATCCTGTCATTGTGCATACTAGGTGATTTTCTATCTCTGTCCCCAAATACACACACATGGTGTTGCAGAGGACATCTATATGCATGACTAACCTTAATAGAAGCCTCAAACTACACATTTCCTGGCAATTGTTCTTCAATTTGAGTAGTTTGTTTGATAGTTTAGCGTATTCATATATTCTCTACTCATGTAACCATTGATAAAGTGAATTTAAATATATATCTTTAAATTGTGATTTCTATCAGGGTTTTTTTCCTTACAATGTATAACTTATTCTTAAAATGCAGTATAAGAGACTTACCAATAAAAACTAGTTATTGGAAATACACTAATTTAGCCATCTGTATTCCAAGCTGCTGTTTTTGATTTATAAAATAAATCAGCTGCATCCAAATGATATCTTTGCAAAATTTATAAAACAAAAAGCTAAAAATATAGGCCACATGAGACAAGAGTGAGGAGCAAACCCTTCAGAGGGAGATCATAACAAAATCAAGATGATTTAAGTTAAGGAGGGCTTTTTCAAAAGAATTATCATCTGGAAGCACAAAATGCAAATTAGAGTAATTTATCAGATCACGAGATATTGCATATTACAGATCTGCAAACCTATGTATGAATATCTAGATAAATTAGCTGCAGATACTTACCATGCCACAACACTGAGTTTCAAATAATGACTATAATAATATAACCAAAGCAAGAACAATTTTTTATTTTTAAAAAAATCAATGCAATCATACCTCATCTGGGACCATAACAAGTGGGTATTTGTCTTCAGAGAGAAAGTTAAAGAGGCACCATAGTTTGAAAGCATCTCCATGGGATACAACACTGTTCCCATTCCTATCTGGATTATAATTCTTCTTTGCTGTTAATGTCCAACAAAGTTCATCAAAGCTCTCCTTGACAAAAGCTCCTTCTGCTACCTGCAAAAGGAAAGTTATTCATTTTTACTGAGAGAAAAATAATCGCCACTTATTTTCCCAAATGGGGTGAGAAACCCACAGCTCACAGATAGTTCCAAGCCCCTAACTGTTACCAAAATTTGGCAGCAAAAATCAGCCACATCTGCTTGTCAAGTGTGTGCCAATTCCTTAATACAACTTCCAAAGCCAGAAATAAACATCTCTTCCATTGCCTCTCCAAAGGGCATGAAGGCTGAGCTATGAATTATAAATATAGTAATATTTAATCTCTGACAGTGAGATGGGTAGTAGCTAACGTTGACAAATAAATAAATAAGGACATAAAGTAATGCTGTATTCTCTTTTTTTTTTACCATCCATGTATATTATCTGTCATGCCATGGAGGTGGGAGAGGTGACTATATTATAGCTGATGGTTGGTTGCTAGAGACAAGATGCAGGCTTGAGCCTTCTTTTTTTTTTTTTTTTTTTTTATTGCAAAAGTTTTACAATTACATTTTCACCGCATTTCCCCCCCCCATCCCACCCCCCCGCTCCCCACCCTAACCCCCCTCAAACCCCCCCTAACCCTCCCCCCCTGACTTCCATGAAGTATAATCCCATCAAAGTCCCCTTTTTACAAAACTTGAACCCCTCAAACCCCCTTAGAAAAAAAAAAAAAAAAAATCCCCCCCCCCTCACAGTATTCATACATTTCTATTTTTATATAATACTTTCAATGAAAAGCTATTTGGTATTTCCTAACTTGATATTTGTTCTGCACATAATCTATCCACTTTTTCCATTCCCATTCATAAGTCTCTTGTGGGCGATCTTTTAAAAATGCTGAAATCTTCGCCATCTCCGCAAAACTCGCCATCTTCAAAGTCCATTCTTCAATAGTGGGTAAAGACTCATTTTTCCAATATTTACCTATCAATAACCTCGCTGCTGTGATCATGTACAATATCAACTTAATTTCATCCAGTGTAAAACCCTTTACTATACCCAATAAGAACAATTGTGGGGAAAATGGAATTTTTCTCTTCAAAACATTCTGCATAACCCACCATATTTTAATCCAAAAAGCCTTAACTTTCTTACAATTCCACCAAACATGATAATATGTAGCATCTAAACAATCACATCTCCAACATTTTGGCTGAACATTAGGATACATACAGGATAATTTCTTGGGATCTAAATGCCATCTGTAAAACATCTTATAAAAATTTTCCCTCAAATTCTGCGATTGTGTAAATTTAACATTCTGAACCCATATCTTTTCCCATGTTTCTAACATCACTGGTTCTTCAAAATTTTGTGCCCACTTAATCATACAATCTTTAACCAATTCAGTTTCTGAATCCCTTTCTAACAAAACATTATAAAGCCTTTTAATATGCATTGGACCTTTCTCTTTTATATGTCTGACCAATTCTTCCTCATGCAACATAATACCAGTTTTTTGGTCCTCTTTCCATCTCAATTGTAGTTGATTATATTGTAACCAAGTTAAATTAATTCCTTCATCCAACAGTGTCTGTAATGTCTTCAACTGCCATCTGCCCGCATCTGTAAAAAGAATCTCTTTATATAAAAACCCCCCGAGTGACATTATATTTGTATTCCACATAGTATGACCAAGATCCAGCCATAACGGTATTTTGTAATCCCATTTGAGTCGGTGCTTCTTCCAAACTCTCATCAAAGAGTCTCTAAGTATATGGCTTTTAAATACTTTATCCACTTTGTTATCATAAAATAAATAAGCATGCCATCCAAATTCAAGATCAAAACTTTCTATATTCAATATTCCAGTCTTTTTCCTTCCAAACCAGTCACTTGCTTGAGTCAAAGCTGCTGCTTCATAATATAACTGTAGGTTTGGAAGTTTAAGACCTCCCCTTTCTGGAACATCTTGCATAATTTTCAATTTCACTCTCGGTTTTTTCTCATTCCAGACAAACTTATTCAGTCCTCTTTGCCACTCTTTCAGTTGTTTATCACTTTTAAGCACCGGAATCATTTGAAACAGAAATAGAAATCTTGGCAAAATATTCATCTTTACTGCTGCTATTCTTCCAAGTAAAGAAAGCTGCAGTTTTTTCCATGTCTCCATGTCTTTTTGCACCTCTCGCCACAAAACCTCATAATTATTTTGAATCAGTTTCATATTAGATTCTGCAACCTGAACTCCTAAATATTTAACCTTTGACACAATCTCAAAACCTGCCCTCCTTTCAAGTTCATATTTTCGTTCTTGTGTCATATTTTTGACTATCATCTTAGTTTTTTTCTGGTTCAGTCTGAATCCTGATACTGCACCATAATCTCTTATAATGTCTTTCATCAGGATTATTGATTCCACCGGTTGTGTTAGGGTAACAACCAGATCATCTGCAAATGCCCTTATTCTGTAATCTTCTTGCCTTATCACTATATCTTTCAAGCTAATCGAATCCCTTATTATATTCAACAAGACTTCTAATGTTAAAATAAAAAGCAATGGGGATAACGGACAACCTTGTCTTGTTCCTTTTTCAATTTTGAAATCTGTTGTCAAACTTCCATTAATAATAATCTGTGCCTTTTGCTCTTGATAAATTGCTGAAACCGCCAATATAAATTGATCCCCAAAGTCCATTTTTTTCAAAGTCTTTAATAGAAAATTCCAATCCACTCTATCAAAGGCTTTCTCCGCATCCAAAAAAGCCAGCACTGCAGGGATCTGTTTATTCTTCTCAAGATATTCCAGTAAATCTATCACTTGCCTTACATTGTCCTTCATATATCTACCCTGTATAAATCCCGCTTGATCTTCATGAATCACCTCTTGAATCACTGGCATCAACCTGTTGGCTAATACTTTTGCATAAATTTTGTAGTCATTATTCAGAAGAGATATTGGCCTATAATTTTCCGGTTTTTTAGGACCCGCTTGCTCTTTTGGTATCAAAGAAATATAAGCTGTTTTCCATGATGGGGGTATTTTACCCCCTTGTTGTATATTACAAAATAAGTCTCTAAGTTGTTCCACCATTTCTGCTTGCAAAGTTTTATAATACACTGCAGTCAAACCATCTGTTCCCGGAGCTTTGGCAGTTTTCAGTTGTTTTATTGCTACAATTATCTCCTCAGCTGTTATAGGGTGATTCAGTCTTTCCTTTTGTAAGTTAGTAACTTTTGTAACTCTTTTATTTTCTAGATATTTTTCTATAAGTCCATTCTGTATGTCATCTTTAGCATATAGTTTAGTATAGTAATCTACAAAAACTTCTTTAATTAATTTTTGTTGATAAATTTCTGTCCCTCCAATGTCAATACAGTCGATGGTCCGCATACTCTGCTTCTTCCTTAGGGTGTAAGCCAGCTTGAGCCTTCTTGATGCACAATTTAATCTCTTTACCACAATGTTATACCAGCTTTCTGGTTTGGGTGCTTTTTTCATTTCCTCTATGCAAAAATATCTGCCTTCAAGTAAAGCAGTATACAATCACTGATGGGCTATTTCACTGAGGTTATGATTTGTTTGAGGTCATGAATGAGGGCTTTGTTACACACCAACCTGGCATTCAAAAGCACAGCCAAAGTCCAGGATCACTGAGGATCCATGTGCCAAGCAACAAAACAGACAGCAGGATTTCTTTCAACCTGGTGTCCCTGAAGATGGCCCATTCTCAGATTCCTATCATATCTCCCTACCCGCCTATCTCCTCAACTCCTCCTTTCCACCCTCCTCCACTAAGTTTCCTTCCCAAGCCAGGTACACATATCCAATCTACACACACACACACACACACACACACACACACACATCATAAGACAATTCCCCCATATCCCACCCTGATGGAACATCAACTAACCTCACTGTAGTGACAGCTTAAGAGTGTCTGCTCTTCCTCAATTTTGAGCCCTCGGAACAGTGATACTGAACCCTTTAAACACCGAGTGCCCAAACCTCATGCGTGCATGCCCAAAATGAAAGATCTGTGTGCGTGTGTGTGGACATGCGCCTGCACGGACATGCGTGCATGCGCAGCGGAGACCTGAAGACCAGCTGGCCAGCGGGAGGCAGGGCCTCCCAACACTGGCAGCGCAGCAAGATCTTTTTCTTTCATGAGCTTCTGTTTCGTTTTTTGCGGGGAAACAGAAGCTCATGAAAGAAACGCCACGGAGATCTGACCTAGGGCGACAGTGTGCGTGCCAACAGAGAGGGCTCTGTGTGCCACTTCTGGCACATGTGCCATAGGTTCGTCATCACAGCCTTAGAAGTTTCAAAACTCACAGAAAGTGATCTTACACTGAAGGAGACTACCCATGGCACCTCCCTTGGCCATATGATCTATCTTTAGCCAAAAAATTGCAGCTGGGGAATTCATTTGATTTTTTTAAAGAAAATTATATAATGATAATGCTGTTGCTGTGGTTAACCTGCATCAATTGAAGTAGCCAACAGCAACAACTACCCATGATATCACAGGACTCTACATGGACATACCGTATTTGGGATATTCTACATAAAAAGGCATCTGTCCCATCATTGAACAGTAGTCTTTTCATAACGGGGATCCCCACAGTTGAGGCTTCCCTCAAAAACATAAATTGGAAACCCATTCCTTTTGAAAGAAAAGTAGAAGGTGTTTCAAAAACAGGATTTTCATAGTACTGTATGCAAAGGATTCTGCACTCAGTTATTATCTTTTTGATCTTTCTTGGCCTTCTAGATTCTTTATATTTCTAAACTTTTATACTAAAACAGAAGCAGATTTCCAAAAAGAAGTTTCCTTTGTACTCAACCTAAAATAACATCTCTTCCTCAGTAGCGCTGAGTATAAATAGGTTAGTGCTAGGTTAATAAATAAATAGGTTAGTTCCAAAATAATTTATTTTAAATTCTTATGCATTTCCTTGACTATTTCACACTTCAGCTGGTTGGTTCACTCTGTTCACAATTAATGAAAACTCTTGAATTATGTAAAAGTATTTTTCTCTGCTGACTGAAGACAAAGATAAGAAAATATTATAATACCACAATCCTAATTCAAGGCAAATGAATTTTGTTGATCCAGTTCTCATACCATAAGCCATACTATAAACAATAGCAGAAAGTAGGGAACATGTAATGACTTTACAACTTTTAATTTACTGCCCTTTGTTTGGTCAAATCATACTTCCTCAGTAGCTTTCCAAAACAGTAACAGGTTTATTTTAAACATACTTATGGAGAAGAGAGTTCCACAGATCTTGCTCCCAAAGAAAGGTGCTTCAAACTGTAACATCAGAATGCCACTAAAGAAGTAGGCTGAATTCCTTTAATGCAATCACTCTCTCTCAAAGATAAACTCTTAGAGATTATGTGGTCAGTAGAGCAAATGCAAGTATTATAGTATAGGGAGCCAGCTGTCCCCTTGTCTTTTCTTTGCAAATAAGGGACTGATGGGTTTTACTGTGGAATTTAGCTCATTCCCAGATGGAGAGTTAGTATTAACTAACTGTAGCTTATGTAATAAACCATCACTAAGCAAACTACAGTTTAACACAATGTATGGATAAAGGAGAATATTTGTAGCTCAGGGTTGAAGGGTTCTTGGTGCTGATCATGTTATCTAGTTTGGGGAATGAAACGTCTGCAAGAAAATAACTAAGCTCAGAGAAGCACCAACAGATACCCTACCAGCGGTGAAATCCGGCCGGATCTATCCGGCTCATGTGAACTAATAGCACCGGCGGCGGGAGACTCCGCCCACCCGCTGGGACGTCATTACATCCCGTTTTTTACCCTCTGTGCATGCACAGAAGAGGCACGCGTGCATAGCGCGCTCCCGTTCCTGAACCGGTAGCGAAGGTAAGTGGATTTCACCGCTGTACCCTACCCCCAGGTCTGGGAGCAAAATCAAGTTTTCAAATATGTTACAATATCATCAAAGTGAGAGCTGCATAGATCAACTACTTTAGATCTTTGGCTGAAGAGGATAAAGCCTCCCCACAACAATGCAACTAATCCCCCCTTTCTCTCTATCCTCCTTCCTATGCACAATGCAGACTTTATTCCTCTTCTTCCTTCTCCCTGTTTATCTGTTTAAATGTTTGTTTTGTGCCTTCCTTACTTTAAGAGTCAAAAACTGATCCTTTTTTAAAAATGTATACAGGGTTCTGGGGATGGAGCAACAAACATTGGAAACATTCTATCGTCAACCTGCGTATAAACTAGCCAAACTGATTTTGCTGAGTTTCATACTATTAATAACTTTGAACTTTAGACCATAACAGAATACATGGAATTCTGCAAAAACTGCTGTAATTATATATACTTGTAGCATGCAGTTAGCGTGACTGCCATTATCAAAAGATAAAGATTTGATAATCATGGGATTTTTCTGACTTTTAAAAAAGTGGTATCGTAAACATTTGAATTATAATTCTTCTGCTGTAGGAAGAACAGGAAGGAGATATGAAACATGCATAGATGGAAGTCTGAACAGCTTCAAATCCACCTCATCATAGTCAACTTTGGTCAAAGTAATTCCAGATCAATTTTCAGAAGATTCAGGAACATGATATTTTTAATACATTATAAAGACAACATACTCATTCTTAAGCAAATTGTACCCAGAATTTTCCAGTTTTCTCTGTTATTGCTATAAATTTTCTCCAATTGCTTGCACTCAAATATATTATATTGCATCTTCCATAATTCCCAGTAAGCATAACTTTAAGCCATTTTATTTCATATACCAACACATTGTGAGCACATCAAGTTTGGATATACTACTATAGGTCATGTTTCACACCTGTACTGCACTTTTTAAAGCACATTTCTGAATAGAGGGCTTTCCAATAATGTGCTAATTAATTGTTGATCCCAGAAAAATTCCTGCGATACAGAATAACAAATCTGCCTTGACATGAGACAAGAGCACATTCAATTAATAACATTTTTCTTCCAGGTAAGCCACATAAACACCTTTGGGTGGAGAGATCTTGAAGGCTTCCTTTTTTACGGAATAGAGATCATATTCCCTCTTGTATATGCAAAGTAATTGTAAAAACAAAAAAACTAACTGGTTAAAATGTCTTCTTGAAGACATTAACCTTCCAGCAAAAACTGGAACTATCAGCTTATCTAAAGTATCAGAGAGGTCGAACTTCAGGCTATCAAAGTGAGTGAAAGAGAAAAAAGGCTTACCTTGTCCAAGATATACTTGTTGAGATATGGCATATATCCCTGACTTGATACTGGGCCATCATCATCATCTTTGAAATGCTCTTCCAAAGCTACAGGATCATGGGGAATACAAAGCACAGTGTAGAGGTTGTGAGAAAGCACCTGGGACAATAAGGGAACAACAAGCATTCAGTAATGAATTAGACACAATATGGGACACCATGCTTGTTTGTTTATTCTTTACATTATTGCCTCATTCACATACTAAACAGGATGAACTTAGTGGCTGTCATTCTCACATCCTTACTGAAACTATAATTTGTCCTATTCCTGAACAGACATATAAACAACTAGCATATCTGCAAATATTTCCATCCCCCAATATTATTGACTAGGGAAAGGCCAGATTAGATAACAAGTTATTGCAGTCCCTTCTCCCTTAAAATTATGTTAATGATTTGTTTATTTCAAAATCTGAGCAAAGGTAAAGTATTTAAGACTTTTAGAGCCTCTCAGAACATTAACTAACATCTTATAACAACAGAATATACAGCCTTGAATGTAAAATAATGTATACAATGTACTTTAACCACTTCCTTCTCTCAACTAAAATGGGTTTGTATCACGGGTGAAATCCAGCAGGTTTTGGAGAACCGGAAATTTTGAACAGTTCGGAGAACCGGTAGCGGAAATTTTGAGTAGTTCAGAGAATACCACCTCTGGCTGGCCCCAGAGTGGGATGGGAATGGAGATTTTGCAATATCCTTTCCCTAGGAGTGGGGAGGGAATGGGGATTTTGCAATATCCTTCCCCTGGAGTGGGGCGGGAATGGGGATTTTGCAGTATCCTTCCCCTGCCATGCCCATCAAGACACGCCCAGGAAGCGACACCATGCCCACCAAGTCATGCCCACAGAACCCGTAGTAAAAAAATTTGGATTTCACCACTAGTTTGTATCTTTACATACAGAAGACATTCTATAACATCTGTGCGAAGACACTCCTGGCTCTGCTCATAAAAGGCAATGAACCACAAACTAGCCTACCATACTTTAGCCTAGTGCAGGGTTTCTTAACCAGGACTGTGTGGAATCCTAGGGGTCCACGAGAGGTCACTCGGGGTTCCCTGGAAAATTATGATTTTGGAAAAGCAGACACTGCACAAAAGCCCTCCAACTTCAACACTGGGTTGACTGCCAAAGCATGCAGACCCTGAGTGGGAACAGGAATTGTGCAGGCACATGCAAGCGGGGAGAAGATCAAAACAGTGATCGAGTGAGAGGAAGGATGAAGAGAAGAGGGAACAGCATCTTCTGCTAGTTTTCCGTTTTATTTTGCCAGAAGAAAGAATATGTCACGGTCAAGCTTGACCAGGATTAATCAAATGGAACTTTCCTTCTACAAAATTCTCTACTGATATGTACAAAGAAATAGTTTGCATTTACAATTCAAAATGCACAAGACTTTCAGAGTTCATAAGGTCCCAACCCACTTCTGCGCTTAAAGTAAGCAAGCCGTATGTATGCTTATTCAATTGACTATTTAGAGCACTGAGAAAAGGAACACTTTTACACCCAATATAATCCGTGAACCCATTTAATTATTCATTTAATATAAAGTGGAGTAAAGCTTTTAAAATTTCCCACCCAATAAATACTATATCATTAATATATCAAGAATCCTTTGATTTACAAAGGAACATGCTCACAGTGAAATCTTTATACACACTCAGAAATTAATAGAGTTCAGTTGGACTAATTCCCCAAGAAAGTGATTGCAATCTAACAGACTTAAAGATCTCTCAAGCAGAAGTGTTGACATTGGGTATTCTCTGTGATGACAGCCCTACTCCAAATTCCAGCCACTCTAAATATGTGATTGGGGAGGGGGGGAATCAGGTGGTTTCTCAGCAACCAAACAATAGAATAGTTCACATGGATGAACACACTTTACAGAGGTTCAACTCATTTGGGAGTTCATTTGCGATTTGCAGGGCCTACATTTATGTTAATTTACCGAAGAAAGTATTTGTGTTTTGCACAGAATGCATGTACGGGGCTTCTTCATTAAAACGGCTTGCCAAAATGGGGCCTGGAAACACTGATATACTCATTTTACCAGGAAATGGAAAAATATGAAAACATTTTATAGAAACAGTAATAAAATAAGATTTTTAAAAAATCTCTGAAATGGCTAAATCTTGCACAAGAGCATGCAGGATTTCAGGTAAGACTGAAGCTTCGTAAGATTTGAAGCAATCCTATTTGGTGTTCTTGTGAGAGACTGAACACCAACTATGATAATCAAAATCTTGCAAAACTGTAGCCATTATATCTACTCACCAGGGGTGGGTTCTAAATTTTTTTACTACCGGTTCTGTGGGCGTGGCTTATTTTGTGGGTGTGGTTTGGAGGTCATGTGACTAGATGGGCGTGGCTAGCTGGTCAGAGTCATTTCTGGAAGGTCCTCGCACTTATGACCAGTCCTCGCACTTATGACCCGACTCATTTGTTTGCTTTTAACACTGATCAGCTGTTAAGAGTTTAAACAGTTTTTTTCCCTCTAGTCATCAGCTGGGACTCAGGAGGCAGCAATAGATTGGGGGTGGGACCAAATAAAAGGTAAGAATAACGTGGGGGGTGGGGGGGCGGGGGGGGGGAGAACCGGTTCGGTGACGTCATATCATCACCGCTACCGGCTCGGCCGAACCGGACCGAACCGGGAGGAACCCACCACTGCTACTCACCCACCCCTAAGAGAATGCAGTTACATTTGTTACCAGAAATAGATGGATTAAATTTTGGAATAAAGAAAAAAATCTTCTCAGCTAAGAAAAAGCTTCATGTAGTAAGATTTTATTAGTTAAAATAAGGCAAAGATCAAATAAATATTTGCATCTCAAAAACTACAATTTTAGGTACATTTTGCTGACACAATTTTCCTGTCCTGAGTAAACATAGGTAGGATTGTGCTGCAAGCGTCTTATCTTAATCTTTAGATAACAGGAGCTGAAAACAATTCAGGTAACTGGACTCAAGTAAAGCTATGTGATATTGTCACATTTATACAGAACTTCGACCTAAAGTGATCAGTCAAGTTAGTTATATTGTTCTTGTCACAACTGTCAAAAATCTACCCCAACTTTTCAGGCTTTCTTCACCTTGCCAGTACACATTTTCATTGTTTTCCTAAAGTATTGGACCCAGTAAACTCTGCAAAAAACCCCAAAGCACATTTCAGATAATTTTTTGGATTTGGGAGAACTCCTGGATATTATGATTTAAAAGGACATTTAAGCCAAACTGCTTAATGCAGAAGTCTTCAAACTTGGCAGCTTTAAGACTTGTGGACTTCAACTCCCAGAATTCTCCAGCCAGCATAGCATTAATTGTAAGCTGCCAAATTTGAAGACCTCTGGCTTAATGCGTATAAAAAATGATCAGACTTAAATCTTTCTCAAGTAAGTCAACATTTTTTTGGCCAGAAACACATTTAAGGTACAAAACATGTTTTGCACGCTTTTCCAAAAAGGATGCCATTATCTATTCACAAAAAGATTATGATAGCAGATGTGGCTACTTACAAATTGTCCCAAGTAGCAATCATGAACTGGATGACTGAGAATCTCCACAGACATTATTGGAATTGTGAGTCAGTTAAACATTTAAATCTGTGTTTAAAGTTTGGACTGACCAATTTTTAAATAAAAATTAGGAATAAGGAATAAAACCTAAAGTATTTTTGTATCTTACTCCATCTGACTTTATATTGGTAGTTTTTATTAATAAAAACACTCATTTAGCCATCGACAAACCTAATTTGCTCTAGATATAAAGCAGTGAACTGTAATGCTCTTTTCAAAATATTGGCATTAGCTGAATTTTCACAATTGTTCTTTGTTCCACCAAACCAGTTCCACTTTTATTGTAAGTCTGTTTATTGCCTTATGGTTATAAACATATTTTATAAAGCTGATTTATTTTTATAGCTGTTGTATAAATATTTTCTATATGATGAATTTATTTAACTAACTTTTATGGCCTCTATTACAAAAGAATACTGCTGGCAAATTCAATAAAATATTTCTTAAAACATTAACATAATGGAGTCTTGGCACACTGAAGAATAATAAGCTTTTGTGACAAGGCTTATTTAATAACACATATTAGATCAAATATTTTATATACTGGATACTCCAGTGTTGTCAAAATGGGTTAAGATGCCACAAAATTGTTATTTTTGCCATAGCAGCCTGGAAGGAGAGAAAGCCATGATATTTACCAATCTAGTTTCTTTAAAAAGTAAAAGATAAAGTACAATCAAAAATATGAAGAATAAATGTTAACATCAATTGTTGTTTATTCTTATTTATTTTTATAATATATATAGGTGCCTATCTCACTCAAAGGATCTGGGTGGCTTATAAGGATTATAAAACAGAAAAATCTACAACATATAATCCTTAACATTCAAAAATAAGCAATAACTCCATCACAATGGAAAACAAGTTGATCAACAGCAGATTTCTACTCTTCTACTCACAAGACCCAAATGCCTGGGGAAACCTTGCAAAAAACTAATAAGGATGGGGCCATACATATGAGATGCTGTCCTACAAGACTGTCATGCCAAGACATGACTCCAGGGTCCAACAATACAGCACTGTTTGATAGAAGGTACTTGGAGTAGGGCCTCGCTACTAGATTTAGTGGGTGAACAGAAACAATGGGAGAAAGGTGGTCATGTAATTAGCCTTGATCCGATGCCACTAGGGCTTTATAGATGACACAGCTTGAACTGTATCCAAAAGCCTACTACAATAGATTTTATGAAGCCAATACAGTATATGGGTATTATGAGAAATGCCAAAAACTGCCTATGCCACTGCATTCTAGACCAGCTGCAGCCCCCAAATACTTTTTCAAGGGCAGCCCCATGTAGAGCAAGGTGCAGTAATCCAAGCAGGAAGTTACTAAGGCAGAAGTTATCATAAGCAGGACATACCATCTAGGAATGGTGCAGAAGAGGAAGTCATGCAAAACACAAACACATCAGCTACAGCTCCTACCTGCTCCTAATAGGAGCCAAGAGTCAAAAGAACCCCAAAACGATGTACCAACTGATTGGGGAAGTGCACCCCCTGCAGAGTTAAAAATGGAAAAT